ATATATATAGAGGCTAATACATACCAACTTGCCCCCCTGCTCAGTCACAAGGAAATCCCAAATCGAAGTGAAAGCCCAGCTTATCAATACTATATTCATACCAACCCTAACATACCAGTGTGCCAAACTTGGTCCCTTAATAAAGCACAAGAAGGAAACATTAACGTATGCGAAATAAGGTGTTTCCGTAGAACCATATCAATGTTATCAGAAGAGGCCGCATAATGAACGCCGCGAGACCATAAGCCAGGATATAACCAGTTATGAAGTTCATTGAGCTTCAAAGAATCAAATGGCTTGGACATCTAACCAGAACGCCCAAGAAAAATGCTACATGTACATCAATCACCACACTAATTAGCACAGGACCGAAACCCTCGCCTCCCCTCGACATCCTAAGGATTTTAGAAAAAGGAAAAAATAAAAATAAGTATCAAACTATAAAGCCTACTTTTTATTTTGTGGGGTCTTTTTTCAAATTAAGTCAAACGTGAAGTTAAATGGCAAATATGTCGACCTGCCAAATGAATATTCTGACATGAATTAATAAGCTATACTTAGACTAATAAAATGTAGCCTACAGGCCTTAATTTTAATTGGCCTGTCTTTATGATATTAATATTATTAGTATCATAAAGACAGATATTAATACTTTTATGATATTAGATCGACCTGAAAAAAATATTAATATGCACACTTCAAAATAACTATATTATATCTTCCCTTCTTAGGAGTAAAAGGCACCATATTTTTGAATGGTCAACTTATCATTTTCGTCTCACTCGTAATACATGTAAATGAAATCAAAACACTATAATTTGGATAAATACTCTCTCTCTCTCTCTCTCTCTCTCTCTCTCTCTCTCTCTCTCTCTCTCTCTCTCTCTGTTATAGATATTTTCATTCAGACAGATATTGACAATACTTATAGGCCTATATCGTCTGTATGTTGTAACATCATGAGTAATACAGGCATTCAATCAAAGTAAATCAAGCTTACTGCCTGGCAGTCACATTGATCTACATATTATTAATAATATTGTTCTTGTCTACATTCACTCAATTGCCGATAGTCTAGCATAACCTCCACATCAGTGACATAGGCCTAACATAACCAGCAGCTATTTCTTTGCTGCCCCAAAATGCCCGATCTTCAAGGTTGCAAACAAACCATTATTGAAATATAGAAATATGAAGTAAATAACTATAACAGTGACGAAGTGCGCTCATTTTAAAATGAAGGCAAACAGAAGTGGGAGCAAAAACCCATTTGCAGATAAACCGGATTTTAAAAATTGGTTAGGGCTATTTCGTGTACAATCTACAACCCCGAGGTGTCGCCAAAACCGGCTATCCTTGATGTTTAACCTGGAGAAGAAAAAGGGAAGACTGTTCGTGCAAAGGTGTGTGAGTGCACGAGCGCGCACGCGGGCGTGTGTGTGTGTGTGTGTGTGTGGAAAAGAGGGGGGGGGGGTTATCTTATCCCAATGAAGCCTGCATTAACAATGCAGATCTATAGCTTATTGGTGGGCCATGTGAACCCAAAAACCACTAACAAGGAAGACAATACAATAGCACCCTTGTTTCTTATACTGTTGTACAGGATAAGACATAAGCTGTCATACAAACAAAGTAAGTACACATTAGGTTTTTAAAAAATTTAATAGACTAGAATCTAACTCCTTTCAAATGTTCCCTCACTTTTCAGAGTTCAGTTAGTTCAGTCAGTGTATCGCCAAATGGAATGATTCAGAATCTTTAAAAAGGTTTTTAAGTATTTTGTTTTCTAATTCAGCACAAGATAAAGAATCAAAACCTTCCAGACAAGAACTACATGTCACATCATGAACGGTATTTCGTTAACAAACGATCTAGTCATCCGGATCCCATTTGTTAAACATCCGGATAATCAAGTTTTGTGCAAGAGGTTTGCCCAAGGAGGTTTATGCTCGAACCGGAAGTTAAGCTTGTTTAATAACTTTACTAAACTCTAAACGTACAAGAAGATAGTAACGTCAGTTTTCCTCACAGAATTCTACACTGAACGAACGCTGTCGCCGAGAGAAAACAACAACATGGTTTGTGACAAGTGTAAGTAGATCTACTTTAACTTTTGTGTGGTTTGTATGCAGAATAAAACTAGATTTTCTAGATCTACAATCTAGATAAGCTAGATCAAGATCTAGAATAGAGGGATAGGGTTTGGGATAGGGTTAGGTTAGGCCTAGCCTAGATCTAGATCTAGATATAGATCTAGATATATAGATCTAGATCTAGCTAGATCTAGATCTAGATCTAGATTTCTAGATGTAGATCTATCACTATCGGTGTGGATGATCAAAGGCCACCTCTATTCTCACCTCGGCGTCCCCCCGGGTGAGAATAGCCAAAAGACTCGCCTGCGCTATTCTCACCAGGGGTGAGAACAGAAGTGTCCATATTGTAAGTGTACAGTGATCGGCCCTGGAAACATGTTTTCGTTGTAAATACTGTGGGAGTGTGTTCATCGATGATGAAAATAACGCTCTTTTATAGCTAGATCTAGATCTAGATCTAGATCTAGAATCTAGATCTAGCTTTCTAGATCTATTTAATTTTTAAAGTGTTAAAAAGAACACGTTATGAATAGATATACACTAGATCTACACCCCTGTCATAAGTTGATAAGTCATTACGAGTAGGCATAGTTACGCCAATTTGATTATTTATATATAAAGGCCGGCTCTATTTCTCCGAACGTTCGGAAAATAAACTTGAACTATATTTCTCCGAAAGGTTCCTGTTCTCGAGATTTGTTGATAAAGCGAATGAAGTGGCCCGTGTGTGTGTGTGTGTGTGTGTCGGCGTGTGTGAAAGGTGTGAACGGATTTTAGTTTTTGCCGGGTGACTAAATGCAAAATAGGTTACTGCCAAGGTCGATCAGTCTTGTTTTCTCGCAGTAACTATTTAAGGTATTTTTTAATGAAGTATAGTCCGGGAACGTTGCCCCAACCACAACTGAAGTATCTGAATATTCAGACATTTAAAAATCTCTAGCTCTAGAAACTGAATTCGATGCAAAAAATGCTTCTTCCCAGTCCTCGCAGAATGGCAGTAAATGAAAGGATGACGCCTAAATCTCGCAAATAACCAAAAAATCTCGAGATCGGAAACAGTTCGGAGAAATAAGGTTCAACTTTATTTTCCCGAACGTTTGGAGATATAGTCACTTCGATTCGATTAATCTTTTAGACGCTCTTGTTGTCACGGATGTTATCATCTGTTATGGGGTTCGAAAGGTAAGGTTAGTTTCTGGACAGATGTTTTGCTCTCAAATGTTTTTTTTTACCTGTACTATGGTATTCAAAACCATCAATAAATGTATTTAAGCTTTTATTTGAATTATCAGGTAATTTCATTTTGTATAAAATCAAGCTCATTTGAAAGATTTTGTAGAGAAAAAGGGAAGTCGTTCCTGTTATCCTTTCGAGCTCCTCATGTCAAAGTGGGTCAATTTTTTCTAATTTCATTGGACAAACAATATCTAGAGCTACCAACTTGGTGTGTTTTGAATGAGACCGAGGTCTTTGGTTTCGAACCAACACAGGCAGTTCTAGAAGTAGGCAACAAACTGCATTGATGTGGGTAGTCAGGTAAGCTTTGTTGACTTTGTGGGTAAAATTCTTTATCCCAAATCTAAGTCATTGGATATTGTGCTAGGAAAGTTGCATGAGATTTCACTTTGAAAAGACAGAAATTATGAATGAGAATTTGAACATTCCATGCAACTCTGTGCTTCTTTACAAACCAGGCTAAGTATTTATAGTAATATAATAAGAGATTCTACAAAAACCCATACTGGGAAGCCTACTTTATCAAATAAATAATAGGGGAGGAGGAAGAAAGGAACCATTATCTGGAAAGGAAAGACGTCGCCATAATCAAAAAGCCACTGGAACAATCAGTATGGATACCTTGCGGGCTTTGATGCTGAGAGGAACTGAGCATGTATGAACTTGTCCGGTGTGCAATGACGTTGTTGCCCAGGACAGGTAATACTGGTAAAATAATGGCTGTTGATAGTGAGATGTTATAAATAAAGATATTTAGTTTTTCCTGGTTTAAACCCTGCACCCTTTTTTATTTGTCTGTTGTGTTGTTGCTATAATCAGCCCGAAGTCAAAATAATGCTAAGTTGTGTGTGTGTGTGTGTGTGTATGTTAGATTAATTGTGCTTGATGTTGGTGTATACTTTTGTTTACATGTAAATATTTTATTATGTCGTTCGTCATTTGATTTGATTTTGCAGGTCAGAAAAAACTTGGAAAAGTGATCACGCCTGACCCTTGGAAAGCAGGAGCCAGAAACACCACTGGTATTGTAACATTAACCCGTCTGGTTTGTGGTAGCTCTCCAAATGGAATATTTGATTTGTCTTTTTAAGGCCATGTTACCAGTTATAAACATATTACAGATGTTTTTGGGGGCTCCTTGGTTGAGAGGTTATGGTGTGCACCTCTCTTTCAATAGGTCCTGGGTTCGAATCCGGATAGCAATGGAAAATTTACTTTCCCAAAATGTTCTCTTTTCACCTTCTTTCCTGCTATCTAACAATGTTCTGTTGTCTGCTTTCGTCTCCACTTTCTGCTCTCAATCCCTCACCTTCTTTGCCCTCTCCTCTGGGCTCCTGACTCTTTCTGCAGCCTTTCTATTGCTACTCCTTGGCTCCTTCTTTCTGCTGTCTTTCAGCCATACCCCTGGTCTTATGGTAGGTAAGATTGAACACCTAGCTTTCTCGGATAAGGGCAAAAAATCTTGGAGGTCCCGTGTACAAGATGCGCACATTACAGATCCCTTGATGTTCTAAAATTGATAAAAGTAGGCTTCGGCCGCCATCCGGGCCAATTCAAAATTTTCTACCTACTGAATATGTTACATGTGTCCTGCACGCTCATATATGACCTTGTGCTGTTGCAAGCGCTGTAAAACATTGACAAAAAAACCCAACAAAACAAACAAAAAACCCAGATGTTTTCAGTGGGCTGTACACATATATTTACCTCTTTAAAGGGTAGATTTAAAACCTAGCCAGTGGCTGTTTTGTATTAGCCGGAACACTTTTCTCTATCACTTCAATTCCCAACTGTTTGTGACTTAATGGAAATGGGACAGCTCACATACCATCTTTGTTGTTGTTGTCAAACGACTGTCACCTATTGGATAATTAGATGTGTTACGGATCTTTAAGAATGAAGGGGTTTTATTATTTTTAGGGGGATGCAGTTTTGAATATCTGATGCACATAAAATTTAATTTTTGCAATTGCCAGCATATGCTGAATGACTTTGTTTATTTTGTATTTTAATTATTACACAAACTTGTTTGGTTATTTGTGATTAGGGAGAAGCAGCCAGAACAAAAAAAATAACTTTTCTGTTGTGGAGGCTTGTTGTTTCTTGTCAAAGCGTGGTTATGATTTTGTTATTTAAATAACAGCTCTAACCTCCATAATATTTCTTCCCTCAATATGTTTTTTTTGTTTGTTTTTGTTTGAAGGGGTACTATGCTATTAGTCAAGAACTGACTTTTCTTTTAATTTTCATTTTGCTTCTTTTGCAGAAGGGGGTGGCCGAAAAATTGGAGAGAATAAAGCTTTGAGTTCAAGAAAAAACAGGTGAGATGTAATTTATAAAAAAAGGTTTTGGGTTTTTTGTTGTTGTTGTTGTTGTGCCAATTATTAGAAGTGGGGAAAAAGTACATTTCTATTCTGTGCAGTGTGCAGTGAATTTCTGAATTTTGCTAATGTGTTTCATGGTGATGTACACGAACACCTATTAATATCCACCTCAGCTCCTCACGGGCAATAGAATGGCTTTTAGCCGTTCTCATGTTTTGCACATTTATGTTTTTTCACAACTTTATATGTCAGTTCTAAAGAAGAAAGTCCATTTGAAGTAAATCTTTTTTTAAATTTTTTTTTTAACCACCTCTCTGCATGGCCTGGAATTTCGGGCTGTGCATACTGCAATAGTGGCTGTGACGTTAAGCTTTTGCGCTGTTGTTTTTGTGTTGTCATGAATGCAGTCTCTTTTCTTGGTATTTCTCAGTTTTCAACCCATTTTCTTTCTGTCATTTTTGATTTGCAGATTTATTGGTCTGTATGGCTGTATTATATATATAAAAGTTTTAAAGATTATTTTTGTACTATATAACTATGACTTCAAAATTAACTAACTTTCACATCTGATTTATAAATGTCTAAGATTCTTTCCTCCCATTCTAAAGCATCGTTTTGCTTTTCTTGCAGATTCAATCCATATTCATCAAGTTTTGAAAAATGTCGCATTTGCAAGACAACAGTTCATCAGCCAGGATCACATTACTGTCAAGGTAAGTGCTGTGTTGATTTTCTGTTGTTGAGTGAAATCTTTGGGAAATGCAAAACCATGTAACAAGAACTTTGCTAGTGTGGTACAAGTTTTTATGCATTTCTTAAAGTCTTACGTAAAAGAATAACCTTTCTAGTTATTTCCATTTCCAGTGTATGTCTTTGATTAACACATCTTGAAGATGCCAAATCTTGAAAATAGTAGAGCCGCTTTTGTTTCTCTCAGTCCGATAATGAAAGTTCTCATTCTAATTATTGCAATACTGTTTACTTACTTATTGATTACCAACAACTTAAAGTATTGTGTTATTTGAATTAGCCGCATAGATCTCCCCCCATCAAATATGATGTTATTATTCGTTACATTGTTAAAAAAAGTAGTTGAACCTGCTCTGTCGGCCACCTGTCCAAGACATCATATAGCTTAAAACACCTACTGGTACTTCAGGATGAAGACTGATTCACTGTTTATTTCTCATTTCAGGTTGTGCATATAAAAAAGGTAAGGATGTCACAGAGGTAAATGTATCTCAGTAAAAATGTGAACAATTTAAGGATTGGTAGATCCTTCAACTAACGAATAAAAACAAAAGGTTTATTGGTAGTTTGTTTATTGTTCTGTTGAACATGTCAGGCTTTAATGTCTGTTGCTCGAAATCAGACAATTATTATAATTGAATGGAGATTCAGAAAAGCATTTTTGATTTTTCAATTCATGGTATTTTAAATTTTAGATATGTTTCAGGCAAACTTTGAAAAGGACTAAAACAGCAAAGCATGGATGACTGAGTCAATATTTCCTTCTGTAAAGGTGATCATTTGAAGTAAATGCTAGTCATCTTGATAAGTAACTGAAACAAACCTTGAAGCAAAAGAATGGATTGGTGTCCAGGTTGTTTCGATTTTGTAAACTCAAGTTGTTAAAAGTTGCGCTTCTTTGTGGTCTCAGTTAATAGCCCAATCTAAGCCATGGTGCCTTTGCTATAAGTTAATTGATCAGGTAACTGCTAAGCTTTTGCCTTTCTTCTTTATGCCATGTAATAGAACTTTACTTAACACAAAGCCGTTTAACACAAAATTCTTGTTAATGCAAAAGGGTTTCAGATTTCTGTTTTTTTTTCCCCTCTTGTTCTATGGATTGCAACTTTCCTTCAATAAAAAATTCCTGCAGGTCTGGTCAGCATGAAGGAATGTTGGGCTGTTTCATCATTTCTTTCTGCTAACTCCCCTCTTTCCTTTTTTTTTTTTTCACTCTCAGTAGCTAAGCTTATCATTGTCAATACATATCAAGACCACCATCTTGTTTTTTTTCCCATTTTTTGAGCCCAGGCAGTGCTGAAAAGAGTGATTTTGTTTCTAAGGACAGCGGCGAGACAGTGGGAAGTTGCCAACAGTCCCAAATTTAATGGGAATTTCACGTTTAAAACATTTTCAGATTACAATCAAACCTTGTTATACTGCCTACCTTGAGACAAGTACAAAGTTGGCGGAACAGTAGAGCTGGTGGTATAATAAAGACTGGTAAAGACTAGATACAAACTGTTGCGAGTCCTTCCTCATGTAGATCTGTCTTGCGCAATTTAAAAAAATTATAGTTCCGTGAAAGGTCAAAACAAAACTAAATGTGTCATATGAGAAAGACCAAGTGCCATAGTAAAACAAACAAATGGGTCGCCACCACTTGGCGAACGAGCGACACTTCTGTCGCGAGTTTGTGTTGACTTCCATTGTTATGGGCCAAGTTTAGGGACTGAGCTGAGGGTGGGCCTTATGGGTTATGACGGATCACATGCTTCCCTTACCAGCAGCTGAAAATTTATTGTTACCCGTTGGTCGACTTGGGTAAGCATTTAGAGCGACCTAAGCAACATGACTGTTTGTCCTTTAGAGGGACTGACAACAACGAGAGGTGAATGAATAATGACGGCTTGTCCACAGCATCAGGGGAAAGTGCATAATTTTCGACAAAGTTCAGGCAGGTAAATTTGGTTATCAGTTGATAAAATAGGGTGGCCGCGGCCGCGTTGGACAGGGGCCCGTTTTACACCGTAAAAATGTATAGAAAAAAACCCAAGGGGGGAAATGGAAAGTGGCTGTATTATACAGGTGGCCTTCATGGCAGGTTCGACTGTACATGTACAGCTCCAACTAAACTTTACGTAAATTCAAATGGAAAGCAGCTAGAATCAGAAGCAAGGCTATATGTATCTAGGACCATTTAGAATTTAGACATACATTTTTAAACCCAGTTCTCACCTTAGACCTGTCATGTAGGCTTGAGGGTGAGTCCACACAATAATAGCCTCTCAGGGACCCACCAGCCTTTTGGTCATTGGGCTTATATCTGGCAAGCCCTGTGAGGCTTCTCCAAGCAAATTTAAAATTTCAATCTAGTTTTTTTTAAAAATCTTTAAAACAATAGCATTTTCATAATCCGTGCAAGTTAGGAGCAAATTGTCAACAAGTGCTCGAAATAGGCCGAACTTGCAGAACCGTTTGTAGGAAGAGATTTTTAAGTGTAGTTTGTACCTCTAGCAGCCGATTTACTGGCAGTATAGCTGGGCAAATTCACATTAGTTTAATAAGAATTGTACAACGCATACAGCTGGTGGATGGCAGTGTAAAGGTGCAAATACCGTGCCTATATGTATATGGATTTCCTTTTCGTACAGTGGCAAACCCTGGCGGTAATTTGGGCTGGCGATACAACAGGGGGCTGTTTAACAATGTTTGACTGTATCTTTTAAATGTGCTGCTATGATAATCAATTCCATATTTTGTTTTTGTTCTTAAACAGAGTCATAGCATGGAATCAAATAAACAGTTACAGCCTCCCTTGAACCTCTTTCTGTGTGGTCAAGGCATCTATCTGAGTTTTTTAATATAAAACTTTGCTTTTTAAAAAAATTCCCCAAGGTTTACTGTTCTACGTGTGTTATTAATGACTAAAATAGGTTACACTTCTGATCAAGCTTCTGATCTGAATAGTCGGAAAGAAGTCGCCTCCCCTCTCTTGTTCTATTCATTAGTACTCTGCTTAACATGAAAACTACTTAACTCAGAGAAACTCTCTGGTTTCGTGTGGGAAAAGTGTTAGATTTGTATCTCAAAATAGGCAGAAAGGTAAAAAAATGCTACTAATTGAATTACTGCATGCATATTTGAATGTTCATCCAACTTTGTCTGACATATAATACCTCTTGTCAAATGTGTCACGACGCGGTGGAATCTGGCACTCGTCAATTTTTGGGCATATGGAGTTATGGGTACTACCTTAAAGCTAGATATTTGTGACTGAAGAAGATGGGGTGCACCTGGTGTCAGAGATAAAATCATCGAGAAAATGGCTGTCAAAATTTGGTTATTTCCTTAGCTTGAGAGTCTGTGGAAACTGAAAATTTACATTTTTTTTGTCCACTTAATCAAGATATTCAGTTAAAAAAATCCTCACATAGAAATGTGTTCTTTAATGGATATAAAAAGTGTTGAGCCAAAGAACAAAATTTTGATTCATTATTGCCAAACCGGCTAAAAAATGCCACTTTGTTCAATTTCATTATTTTGACGAATGCCTGATTTCACCACACTGCCTTACAAATGTCAGTGTATCACACAACATTCAAAACCAAGTTGTATGTCAGCTTGAATAGTGCATGAATTAAATTGTGTGTAGACATGCGACTATAAAAACATAAAGTACTTGGTTAAACTAGCCAAATTAACTGCAAATATCCGTACTATAGCTTGCTCATTATCGTCTGTGCATTAAAAAAAAAATTCTAGCTCATTTATCAGTTTGCGAATGCGCACGTAACTTTGCATAGCACTCCTGTAGGCCAAAAAAAATAATTTTTTAAAGTTTTTAAATATTTGGGCCCTACAATAAACACAGCCCTTAGGGTTTATGCACAGGACCACTACAGTAGTAAAGAATTTACAGTGAACTAGCCTACATTGCTCATTTAGAGACAGTGACACCACCTTCCCTCCATATTTCAGTATAATCACATAGCTTTTTCCTTCCAAGGCCATCTATATGTCTTCTTGAAATGGACGCATCTATTTGGTAGATCATATTTTGTAGGAGGGCGTTCATGCTTAGTAGGTGTGTGTTTAAGTGTGATGTTAATGAAAATAGGTAAACTTTTCAATGTTTTAGGTGTATGCGGTAAATCCCCTGTTACATTTTTCCACCCATTTAAGGCTAACATCTAAGAAAACGTTTTGGAACTTTAGTTTTCAATGGTCTTCATAAATGGGCGTTTTTTAGATTCTCTTGGTCATTCAACGTTTAGACCGGCATTGAAAGACCTGAGAAGATGAAGCAAAGTCATTTATTGTTTTCTTTCTGTTTTAACTTTGGACTGACAAAAACTGAACAAGCTATAGCAACTCTTACGTCTCTGCTATTGATCTATTTGTAAGTCGTCTAATTTAAACCTCATTTTCTTCTGTGCAGGTATATGTGCTATGTGTGGGAAGAAAGTGTTGGAGACTGCCAACTACAGACAGAGCTCCACGTGATGGAACAGTTTGATCGGGGGAGGGAAGGATTTTCATTCTGGTCAGGAGGCAGCAATTGTGAGAACTTTGGCCACAGCTCAGAGATTGTGATGTTTTGCTGTATGAGCAGATTTTTGTTCTTAACCTTGGAAACATGCACTGTTTTACCCGAAAGCCTGGCCACCATGGCCGATCATTTGTAAATATGGGGGTTTGGTGGGGGGTATCAGGTAAGATCTACACCCGCTACTGAAAAATGACCATTTACAGCTCATAAGATGATGAGAAACTAATAAAACCATCTTTTCTCAAAGCTTATAGGATGAGCTATTCAAAAGTGATAAGCAATGAAACAATTATTTTACAAACAAAAGTGCAAGACACAGTGAAGTCAATTATTAGCAAAGTAGCACAGTGGAACAAGTGATAGCATATAGCGTGTAGTTGTTCAAATAGACAGAGTCACTTTATCGATCAATATCTGGGCTGAAGGACGCACAACGAATTCAAAATAACTTTCAGACTCACTGGTCACTTGCAATTTGTTAAACCATTTACCATATGAGCCATTGTCAAAACATGAGACTCAAGCGAGTCTCATAGTGATGCAAAATATTTTTTCTGATCAATTTGACTCCTTTTTCTGTCAGTCACAGATTGACATCTAGTGTCGGTATTTCTGAAAAGTACTCGATATCAGAACAAGGAGATGCAGGGTTGCGGAGCATGGGTCAGTTGGTTTGGGACTACCATATTATTTCTTGTATGTAACAGTGATAACAAAAACAGATAAAGTAAGCATGTCAAGTTGTGTACTTAAAAGTAGACAAAGAATTTATTCACTATGAACTCGATTCATAGTGGCAATATAAATGACAAACATTGTAACAATGATGCAGTGCACAGAACATGTTATCATTGTTTTGTACATTTTCAATGACAACACATCACGATAGTTACCAGTAACTCAGTAGGCCCACGTAGTATTTTTTCAATGGAACGGAGGCTGAAAATGGCAGTCAAAGAAAATTAAACATAACATTTAATATCATGCTTTTCATGCAATCAAAAATGTCTAAACCCATGCATATTATATCATTTTTAGAGAAATGAACACAGATGTGAAAAGGAGAAATGCAAAACAGTGTTAGTTTAAAAAATTGCAGTAAACGACCAAACTTACAATTTTTTGTTAGAAACAATAGAACAAAATGTTTCCACTTTTTTGGTAACCCTTGAAGCATGCACCGTCTTAACAGAAGTAACCCGCCCCAAATGCCCCACCACTACAGCGGATAACACATAGCTTGTAACAGCAGCCAATAATCCTAAACGTGGTTAGATTTGCAGTGAACAATCCAAAGGCATACTCCCAATGATGCAGGAAAGTTCCATGGCTGTAGCGCATGAAGTACTTTAGATATATTACATTCGCAGTGAAAGAACATAAAATAAAATAAATCAAATGAAAGCCTACAACATTCAGCTGCACAACATATATATATATATATATATATATATATATATATATATATATATATATACACTACAATTCACTGGTTCTATGTACATTCTGTAAGACAAAGATGGCTTTCAGGCAGAATGGGAAAGCCTTGAAGCAACCTATAGAGTGAAGAAATGGTTTCGATTCACACCCAGAGCAGAAAGAATGGGTGGGAACACAGCTTACGGGTTTCAAGCCTCACTGGCAGGCAGATTTGATAGGATCATAGTCAATGTTATGACCAGGGCCCTGGGTCCTCTCCAGTAGGCAAATTTCAGGCTGTCTGCCTGGGCTCCTCCCCAGTCTCATGGCCACGGAGTCGGTAAGCTGTCTCCCAAGTGCCTTTTTAAAGGCCATCAGGGTGACAGGTTTCGCTTCTTGTTGCGTCAGACAAAACAAAATGTAGGCATTTATTTATGTGACCTCTAATAGCCAGTAAAAGATTTTTTTTACCACCGTAAACCGGGGGGACTTTCCAACACTATTGGGCTTTACATCTAAATTTCGACCTGAAACTATCTCTTAGATTTTCAGAAATGTAACAAGCAACACTTTACATTTCAAACATTAACAGCTCTTGAAATGGCAAAATGTAAATTTATACCAGATTTATTGTGAATTTCACAATGATCTGAAAGTGGGGTGACTTTGCAACACCTATGAAAAAATGATAATACAATGACAAATACAATACAATCAACAAATTCAAAAGTCTCTGAACAAATTTCCTAACTTCATCTTCACTGTCAGTGTCACTGATTTCTTCATCACTGTCAGATTCACAAAAGGGAGGTCTGCTTGAGTCGGGTGTAGGAGTTGCTGAGGTTGCAGCAATCTCCTCTGCACAGATGGATTTGCTGTGCTTCACTGTAATCCTTTTCCTTGACATCCGTTGCTTCTTGGGCCCGTCAGGGACTATATTTGAACTGCTGTTGGTATTCGAGGACAGCATCTGATACCCATCCCTTCTGCTGGTCCGTTGTGGAAGGAAACTTTCTGAGGACCGCGGCCTCGTCAAGGGGTGTGTTGTCACATGCCTTGAAACCTGCCACAAGATTGTTGTTGATCCTTGTCCCAAGGCTAATGATGAGCTTGCCTAGAAGCCTCGCAAATACTGATTGTCCAGACAAGTTGCAGAGGGATTGCTAATTTTGTAGTCCTGATCTGACAAAATAATGGATTGAATTTTGATAAGTTTTAATGGTAATAAGTTTGCAGTATGAGCATGTTTTTTCCCGTAATTTTCTTGATATGCATACTTGACAATCATGAGGCAGTTGTGGCTCTGCTGCACATGAGCTGCACACCACTTTTCATCCAGTTCAGGCTTTTCCACTTGGGGGAGACTTAGTAGTAGTGGCACATATTCTGCCTCGACAGGCCAGCCTCCAATTGTTGCATTGGACCAGATCTGTAGTAGACAGATATTCAAAGATGAAAATCATTTGACAGGCATATTTCAATTAGAATCAATGTGAGTAGGTCAGCCTCCAATAGTTGATTGACCAGATCTGTAGGCAGATACCACACCAGCAAAGTCCCTGGACAGTGGCGCCCTCAGTCTTTCTACAGGATTGAAAGGGCTGTTTCCTGGGGCATGGCAAAGGGTGTTAAGAACATCCAGATTGTTTTCTTTAAATTTCCGAATGCTGTAGGCCAGGGTTTTAGGATAGCGGGGATTTTCATCAGGATCTCCATGCACTGACACCACATTATAGGTTGGGTGTCTCTGAAATAATACATCAAAGTCTGGGTGATGACTGGCTGCTTTGGAGCTGTCATGTTTGCCTGATCTTATCCTTATGAGAGTGGGCCCTGAGAAGGTTACAGCCCCATCGTCACTGATCTGGCAAAGGGCATTGGTACTTGGTATGAGTTTATGCGCTGGAGCCTTTACAAAGTCATGATCAGGAAGTTTGACCTGATACTCCACATGCATCATGAGAGGTGTTTGCTTTGTGGCTGCAGTCAGACCAATATGCACGTGGCATTTGTCATCCACAGATAAAAGGTAACAGACTCACTGTCATATAGTTTGAGGGGGGAGGGTCAGAGCACAGAAGGTTACATTTGAAAACAATTCATTAAAAATTTAATTTTCGAAGCTGCAGTCTTCAAATTTGCACACAAAGTAGTTAAAAGGCTGTGCTATACAGTGATATAATTTGTTTTGTTGCATCTTTGTGAAGCCAGTATAAAAAAAATTGTTTTAAAGTATATGTTTTTCTTTTTTTGTTGTTGCCATAAGGCACACTATTTACAAAATTCTACAAAAACTCAGCAACAGACTGCATCAAAATAGCATCATATCAATGCTAACAGGTTGCTTTCTAGTATGTGCCAGGGACATTTGAATCTATGCTTTACTTTAAAAAAAAAAAAATTTTAGGGAGGAATTTTGAGACAAAAAATCTGACCCTTCAGGTGGTGGCAAAAAAAATGGTTTTAGAGCTAACACTGTTTCCAAAGCACATACACAGCCCCATTCAAAGAAGAAACAGCATGCCGAATCTCATGCAAATCAGTTGATTAGTGAAAGAATGACAACGATGGTGTAGAATGGCCATTATTCCTTTTTTCATTCCCTCCAATCTACCTTACCTAGATCTAGATGGTTTTCTTATTGCACCCCCATAATGACCCTGTATTCTCTTGATTGCTTTTGCATTGAGCCACCCTGCACAGTATAATTCTTTCCGTTTTCTACATATTTTTCCCCTTGCACTGGGTCACTTTGTCCATTAGACAAAAATTGAAATGGTTGCGGCGAAGAATAGAGGCTGTTGCAGTACATCATGTTGGCAGAATTCAGGTACTGCTCTATCAGGTGGCTCACCACACTCTCAACAAACTTGTCCCCTCTCTCGTCGAAGTTGGCTTTGCCTGTGTAAATTATAAATTTGAGGCAAAAGCGGGTGCTATCGTCACAAAGACAAAACATTTAACATTTTCAAGCCTCGCTTCGTTGGCTTGTCAGGCATGTATTGCAGAAAATGGTAGTGACCTTTGAAACGGGCCATGAGCTCGTCAGTGCTGAGGCGCTGACCAAGATAATAAGCTGCATTACAGAGGCCCTCCGTCAATTTCAGGAGGGGTTGGAGCTTGAAGAGAGGCAAGTAACATAGCTGGCCCCTCTGTATTCTTTCCTCATTGCTGGGGAAGTGAAGGAAAGATTTGAAAGAATGTAACATTTTATGGCGAGAAAGTAGAAAGTAGCATCGCGTCACTGGACTTATTGTCGAAAAGCCCGAAACTGCTTCAGTGGTCCTCCATGGCTGGCTTTGCGTTGATCCTCATTGCCATCTATAGCTCGCACTTCAACTGCGTAGGTAGGTGTCCAATGAATGTTTCTTCCAAAAGTTGGTAGGTATCACTTGGGGAGGCGATTCTTTGTGTATTGGTTTATTTCATGAACGATGACAGTTTGGGGGAAAAACAACTCGGAAGTTGTCCAAAGGACTAAAACCTTCAGTGTCTACTACTAGGACTCGTCGCTGGAGCTTGTGGTCTTGGAAATCTCTTAGCCAAAAAGGCTGTGAGGGTTTGTCTTGAAATAAAAATCCCATTCATTGTCACCCATGCTCTTAACAGGAGGAATAAATACTAATGCACCCTGTTTTATGCACATTAATGTGAGATGTATGTGTTTTTTTCCCATGTTTTGGCAATGGCTCATGCAAGGAACACTGAAATTTTCCAATGAAAAAAAGGTCAGGGTCTATGCCCTTTATATAGGGCTTGTGCACTTCCCAGTTCAAGTAGATCAGCCCTGTAAAAAAGGCTGCCACACATCCAGGGTTAAATAGGTGGAAAATAAAAGAACTTCACACATTCATCACATACTGATGGTCTAAGAGTACTTTGGCATGTTGTAGTATGAAAAGTCAAATACATTTTGAGCTTGTCTCTGTTGTCACTTTGTCCATTGATGTTTGTTATTGACTTTCGTGTCTGTAGTGGGTGGTTGGCGGGTGCTCTGGTGGGGTTTGCTCCTTTTTCCTATCCAACGTCTGTCGTCTCTCTTCCTTCTTTTTTGTGTCTGTTACTCTCTTACAACATCTTCGTCACTTATATACCTTATTGTAATGCAAGTGCTGTTTAACTCTTATTAAAACTAAACACAAGACGAAGACCAAAAAGAATTAGGCATCATAATTTTTTTTCACGTATAACCTGAGACAAGAATCTGTTTATCTGTCCTTCATTAGTTTTATAAAGCAGACAGCTGAAATTGTCAAGCTTTTGGGTGGTTTGAGTGCCATTAGACTTTCATTTGACGTTGTGTGTTGGAAAGTATGAATGATGACTAAGTTGTGAACGATGACCGAGTTGTCATTGCTTTTGGTTTTTTTCTACTATTTAAGACTCTTGCTGAAATCAATTTGTGATTTTAATGTATTCCTGCTTGCAGAATAGGATGCTTAAGGTGCTCTTGCATCTCTTTGATGCCATTGTAGGTTTTCAGCTTATTGATAAAAGAGAGAAGTGACTACACAGAATCTGATTTGATACACAATTATTGTAAACAATGGTAGAAATGGACCAGCAGTTTGTACTTACTCTTCTCTTCATATCATATTTGGCCCCCCCCCCCCCCCCATCAAGGGTAGTTCTTTAGACTTCATTTTGTAAGTCTGGTGTATGTTTGCTAATACATCACACAGGAGACCCAAGTGGACTGCGTTTATGGGACACGAATGTTAAGTTTGTAAGCAACTTCTGGAAGTTAATGGTGTATGAAGTTTTATTGTATCTGTCATGTTATGCTTGATGATGGGAATGATTATGTGGACATGCATGAATGTTGACAATAATGCCTGTGTAATTTTTATCAAACATCAAAAAGTAGTAGCACTGAGATGTCAGAATTTGGGAGCTGGGCAACAGGTCAGATTTGAGCAGTTTTTCTTAATTTCAAAAGTTTTGAACTGATGTTGTTACTTTGGGACTAAT